GTTTTATGCTCGTATTTATCTATATATATAGTTTGTAGAGAGAAGTATAAATTAATTATTTAATTAAAATGGATCATAATACATTGATTACAAAACAAAAAAACGTTTAAAAATTTTTGAAGTATTATATAATTGTATATTATATAAATTGAAAATATATTAAAAGGTGTATTGCAATAGAAACTAATATTTAACAGTACGTATTGGGATATATTATTTTCAAAATAAAAGTTATTACCGAATTTTCCTCGATGCGCAGAGAATAAATAGTTTATATGAATTTTTATAATTTTTTACGGTTAAATAACAAAATATTTATTTATGTATAACAGTTATGAATATCTGAGAACAAATTATAACATAGAGAATAAACTACTATTTTAAAAACATTGTGAAATAAATGTAAATGCTTGCAACTTGTAAATTTATTTGCAAGTCTAATATTTTTTAATAATAAAATATTAAATTTAAAATGTAAATTAAAATTTAAATATTGAGTTATAGTACATGTTTTTATGTTATAAATTTTTATCATTAATCTCAACCATTTATTTTTTAAATAACAATTTAATTATCTATTTAGTTGAATAATTTTTGTTATTAATTTTACATTGATAAAAACTTTCAGTCTATACATTTTTTTCTTTTTAAAAGAAAAAAATGTTCAAATCAATTAATGTACAGTATGATTATACACTAGCTGCTAACAGATTTATAAAAATTAGCATAACGCAATTAGAGTAATGAACTTCGGTTGCTTCTTAATTAATTCGTCGTTGACTTCTGATCTAAGTAAACAGATTTATGTTACTCGAAGAAGAGATCTTTCCTTTTGCAATTTTTCATTTGGTAACTTGTCTCGCCGTAACGAAATGAATGCACAATTAGCCTGACCACTTGAAGCGAGATAAAACGGCACTCTCGATCATTTTTCGATCGTAACGGAATTGATGTAACCTCGCGGTGCAAGAAAAGGAAGAGATTGAACCGATTGCGAGGAAACCATCGCCTAGTATAAACCGACCGGCGTTTATAAACGGCCCGATATCCATTATGCATGCGGCCCCATTTCTATATCTATATCGACGTATATATTTGTGCACCTTGTTCATTTTTCCTCCCTTCCTTTATCCGCTTGCACCATCGCATCATCGTGCTTCCGTTCGACGTGTCGTGACAATCGAGCGTGCCCCATCGTACGTTAATTAACAACAAATGGATCGATGCTATTTCATATATTTCACTAGTATACTAAATATAGCATATCGTAAATACACAGTTATTTTATTGCAAACATGTTTTATGTATGAACAAATTGACTTGCAACTTTTATCATTTGTTAAAAATACAATTTCATAAATATGCAATATATTATTGTAGTAATTATATAGTAAATCATTACCGTTTTTTACTTATTAGTCTTTATTTATTAATCTTTATTGATATAAAAACTATTTATCGATATAAAATATTATTTTCTATTTAATTATAATTTTCTAATAATAGAACTGCAGCATCCATTGTAATTGTTTGTGTAATTTTTTCTTTATCAATCTTTCATTCAATTATTAAATGATTACTCTAAGACAGATTAAAAATAACACCTAATATGTTTTTAAATAAACAACAATATAAACGCTTATAAGAACTTACGCTATGTATTCGCAATGTTATAAATTTTAGATATGCATTAAAAAACACTAATCTAAAATTACTTATTTTAGTGTCTTTTTTTTACATTAGTGTCTTTTATAAAACACATAAACATCCAATATATGTTGCAGGCATTTATATTGTAATTTATTCTTTAAAATTATATAATTTTTTAAATGCAATTTTTTAAGAATGTATCTGAATCATTTTTATTATTATTATACTGTAAATAAATAATATACATATAAAAATTATGTTTAACGTAACGTTCTGTTTTTATTAAATAACACATTTTTATTTTATTTATATTGTTTATTATTATTCTTATTCTTATAAACTAAAATTTAAAAAATAATTACAAAAATCTAAATTTTTAAAATAAATATTTTAAGTATTAAAAATAATTTATGCAAAGTTTCATTGCGATTCACTGATTAGTTATAAAAATTTAGAATAAATAAATATTTTATTTATTTACTGGATTAGTTCATGCAATGTAATTTTATATATAAATTTTATATATAAATAATCGTAAATATATAAAGTACTTGCATAAAAAAATTAAGATTTTTGTCATTTATTTTATAATATATTTGCACACATACATTTCTATTATAGCACAGATTAAAAAAAAATACTACTTATTTTTAAAAATAACTTATAATTCAGATAATAAACCGTCACCAAAAAAAAGTTGTTGTATTATTTTTAAATGCGATTTAAAATAATCTGTAATTTTTTCGTAACTTTGTTGTCATTTTGAAATATATCTCAGATGATTCTTAAAAACTGTATTAAATATTGACAATTATTTTTTTATTGCATATTTTAATAATTCAAAGGTTTGTATGCTTTCTGATGTAATACAAATTTATCAAATTTATAATTCATCTCTGAAAAACGCCGAATGCGAGAAGATATTAGTAAGAATAAAAAAACTGTTGTTTTATCTTCAACATCTCTACACATCAATTTGTTGAGTTTTTGCGTATGAATCGATAATAAAGTTATATTTTCGTTAAAATTTTCATTGTTCCCTATTCAAGCACCGTGGTTTGTTAGTAACGTTTTCACTAACGAATCTCGTCGGCGTGTTCGTGACGGTTTCAATTCAATCAAACATTATTTCACGAAACAAGTGACATAATCGAAATAAATTCTTCACTGTCCGTAAAAAGAGAGTCATTAAAAATTGTGTCTCAAAGCTCTCTTCACTTCAACAGAATGATTTTAAAAATTTTATTTATAGAATAGGATAAAAAGTTTTAAAGGCATTCATATACTTTTAAAAATTAATATTAATAAAAAATCTGAGATTCTTTACAATTTTTAAATATCAGTACATATGTATGTACTCATATGTAGGTACTCATGATTATTTTTTAAAAAGATTTTTTTGATTAAAATGTTACTTATTTAATACGTACGTCATTTTAATTTTACAATTACAAACGTAGCAATTACAAATGTAAAGTGTATTTGACGCACAATTTATTTGCAAATTAATGTAATATGCTTGTTCTATTAATCTCGAAGGAAATTTATTTTAATCATCTAGGAGCTAGATATTATACTAATAAACAGTTATTTAAACAACTTCTATCTATTCGAGATAATATTAATGTTTAATTCCAATAATAATTAATAGTTAATAATAAATGATTAAAGACTTCATAGAAATGTAAAAATATTTATTTTTATTACTTAAAAAACTTAACGATTACATAATGATATCTATAGTTAGAAATCAGGAAAACAAAATTAGATGCTATAATAGCAACATGCCTAATTAGTATAAAGTGTTGTATTAAATAATAAGTGCTATGATAGCACAAAGCTGTAAAAGATAAACTTGCATATCATTAAGAATAATGAAATATATATATACAAAGATGGGAACATTTTTATGAAGATTAATGGCATGATATTCTGTCTGCATATAACACTTTTTCTTTAATTAATAATTAAGATAAAATATTAATATAAAGAATATCATTATTTTTTTCTATTTATCACGTAAACTAAAAAATAGTATATATATGTCTTAAAAAAATCTACAAATTGAATTTCACAAAAGCCCTAAGAAACTTCTTTATAAAATTAAAAATTATATATAAACCTAGCACAATTTTACGAATAATTTAATTTTCTTGCTGCTACTTTAAAAAAAATTTTTTATTTTGTTGAAATTTTGATCAATAATATTACGATTTACAAAAGAGTGTCATAGAAATTCTTAAAATTCTTGTTTAGTTTTCATCAAATCATGAAAAAACAAAAGTATAATATTATTATACTTTATTATACTTTTTTACTATTAAATAATTTTAAAAAAATATTATTTTTTTGTTTTGTCATGATTATATGTCATTATTATAAAGTATAAAAAAAAGTATAATATTATTATATTTTTTAAGAAAATTACTTTTTTGCAACTTTTTATGTCACCTTCTCAAAAAATTTCTAAAAATTACGTTTATAAAAATTTTTTATGTACATCTTTAGTTCTTAACAGTCCTCAATTAATAATAAGTATTTTACTGGTAGTATCTTCTCCTATGCATAAATGTTTTATAATTTTATAACTTTTTTCAATAGCCAATCACTCATTCTTTTCTATATATTTCTTTATGTCTCGACTGTAAGTGCGACGACTTTTTCCGATGCATCGTAACGCAGATTCGTTGTATCGTGCTACACTTTACTCCTTGTCCTTGTGTAGATAATATGGCTGTGCAAGGGCGAGCTGGCAAGTGCGCCGCTCTAGAATCACACCGTAAATAATAAAGCGTCGCGATCGATGGTGATACCAATCCATCTGCACAAGCCAGTGTGCGATTATTTATTAACGCCTGTCCCACATTGT